CAGGTGTCCTTAAACTACGGCCCCCAGAACACATGCAGCCCGCCTAGGACATGTATCTGGGCTGCTGGGTGTTTTTGCTGCCACTGCCTGTCCTGCTTAGCAGCTGACTCATCCTGGGCCCGCAGTTCAGCCCTCCAATGGTCTGAGGGACAGTGAAGTGGCCCCCCATTTAAAAAGTTTGAGGACCCCTGATTTAGGCAGCTGGAGCGGGAGAAGAGAAGGTGTCCCCAGTGAATGGAACAGCTTGGGGCTAAGGCTTGGCACGAGCCAAACTAGTTACTGCCCTTAATTTTTTTTTCTTTTGCATTTTTTGGCTGGGGCTGGGTTTGAACCCGCCACCTCCAGCATATGGGGCCGGCGCCCTACTCCTTTGAGCCACAAGCACCGCCCATACTGCCCTTAATTTTGAACACCTCCTTGTGTGTTTTCTCCAGGAGGTGGTATTGTCACATAATGTGGTCAGAAAGGAAAACTCTTGTCCCTCCTCTTTGCTAGCAGGGAGAGCCCCAGCTATGGAGGAGCCTAACTTTGGATTCAATCCAGCTTGGTTTCTGATCAGCCACGTGGCCACAGGCAAGTCACTTCAGTTCTCTCACCCACAGTTGTCACACCTACCCAAAGACCCATTCACTGAATCACTCAGTAAAAACCAGAATTCAATGAGATAATGTCTATAAAGGTCTTATCTGGGGTTTCTTGACACTATTCACGATTCGGGCTGGAGGCTTTGAGGGGCTGTCTTACATTATAATAGGATGGGTAGCAGCATCCCTGAGCTCGACCCATGAGGTGCTCTACGCATGTGTGTAGCATCCACTACACACAAATTGTGACAACTAAAAATATTTTCAGGAAGGGGGGCAAAATCATCTCAGAAGGACCATCAGTCTAATGAAGCGCTTGACATGTAGTAGGCCCTGAAATTTATTCTCTCCTCTTCCCCCCCAATTAGTCCTGGAAGTGACATTAACTTCTGTCCTGTTGGAACAGGAAAAGCCTTCAGAGATCCCTGTGCAGATAGGGAAACAGGGGTCAGAGAAGGGAAGTTAGCTGCCTAATGTCACACAGCATGTCACTGGCAGAATGAATTAGGTACAAAAGAGACAAAACCAGCCTTCATTAAAAGACTGTGCTGTAAATGAGCAAATTCATTTCTTTCTCCCAGGAGAGCCCAGAGGTGAGTGGTTAAGGCTGTTGGAGTGGCTGTACCATTCTCAACAGGCAGCTTCACCTCTGGGTCCAGGGCAGTCATTCCAGTTGTTCCCATTTCTAATTGGCCAGGAAGGGGTAAGACCAGGAAGAAGTGGAGAGAGAGCACCCTTCTTTTTAAAGCACAAAGTGGGCTCAGCGCCTGTAGCTCAAGCGGCTAGGCCGCCAGCCACATGTACCAGAGCTGGCAGGTTTGAATCCAGCCGGGGCCCACCAAACAACAATGACAACTACAACCCCAAAATAGCCAGGAATTGTGGCAGGCGCCTGTCGTCCCAGCTACTTGGGAGGCTGAGGCAAGAGAATTGCTTAAGCCCAAGAGTTTGAGGTTGCTGTGAGCTGTGACGTTACAGCACTCAACCCAGGGCGACAGCTTGAGACTCTGTCTCAAAAAAAAAAAGCACAAAGTGAAATTTGCATATTTAGTTCTGCTTATATGCTATTGGCCAGACCCTCCTCACATGGCCACACTTAACTGCAATGGAGGCTGGGAGTTGTCGTCTCTGGCCATGTGCCCTGCTAAAACTTGGGGAGGAAAGAGAAGAATGAACACTGGGGTTTGGTTCGCAGTCCTACCTCACAGAGGCAAAGTAGAAACCCAAGATCTCTCTACCAAATCAGTTCATTTATCAGTCAATTAACTAGCAGGAGAGTGGCAGTCAAAACAATAATTTCAGTGCCTGGAGTCTCCTGTGCTGGCTCGGTGTCAGGCCCTGGTTAAGCACTTTCCACTCCTTGACTCATTTAACCTTCCCAAAGGCCAGGGAGGGAGGTTTTACTTGTTAATTCCATTTGACAGGGGATGAAAACCGAGGTTCTGAAAGGTTAAGTAACTTGCTCCAAATCACACCGCTCAGATCTGCCCAACTCCTTGGTCTTACCCTGTGCCAAGCAACACACAGTTGTAACCTGAACTGAGGTCCTCAGCAGGGGAGTTCAAGAGAGGATTCAAGCCTCTGGTCCAAGGCCCCTCTAGGCTACCACAAGAGCTCAAAAGGCCCTCTGAGGTGACCTGACTCTGTGAGGCTGCCTTCAAAAGAGAGGAGGCCCTTGAGTGAATTAGCAGCTGGGTGCAGGCTCTGGGTGGTTTTGGTCCCTCTGAGCCTGAGTTTCCCATGAGAATGAGAACGGTTCCTGCCTCCTAATGTTGTGCAGATTAACGAGATGGCTGCTTGCCGGGATCAGAGTCCCTCCTGAAAAGGGGAGGCTGCTGGGATGGATCATGTGGCAGTGGCATGCATTATCAGTGTGCAGCCGGTGTGCCACCTCTGCTAAGGCCAGTGGGGCAGGGGGAAAGGATAGTGTCTTTCTCTAGGGCAAAGGGAGAACTGAGGCCCACATATGGTGGTGAATAGCACCTGTCCAAAGTCAAGAAAGTGGGACCTACTGGGGACTGGTGAGAAAGGCAGCCAGAGCTCCTGGGACATCAGTTCTCTGAGCTAGGGTGGTAAGTCCAGGGGTCCTACCTCCATGGGTTCAAAGCCCAGCTCTGCTACTTGCTCACTGTGTAAACTTGATGGGTCACTTTGCCTCTCTGAGCCTCAGTATCCTCCTCTGTCAAATGAGGATGAGAGTGGAGTCTCCAGGTATAAGGGGGAAGTGAGGAGTTAATGAGGTCCCCCATGTTGGCACAAAGGCAAACGTTGCTGACAGTGGCTGTGTTATCACGAGCACTGAGATGCTGTCTCTCCTGTAGCCTGACATGGCTTGGGGCGAGCTGGATTCTTAGGTACAGATGGAGGGGCTTTGGGTAGAGAGAGGAGCTGGTCTCTTTGGAACAAGGGTCCTTTACCAGGGAGGCCAGGCCTCCATTCTGCCTTGCAGATGGTACACAGATGCTGTCAGGGCTGGGGGTAAAAGGTGTGGGCGAGTGCCAGGGGGTGGAGACCATGGGTGCTCTCAGTGCTACCTGGAGAAGACATTAGCTCCAGTGGAACCCCTGGCCCTTTAGAGGGTGGGAGTATAGGCAGAGATGGGGTCACAGGCCTCTCATCTGGTGTTAGCCTGCCCTATACTCCTGAGCCCAGTCAGGCTGGGTGTTCCCTGATTCTCCACAAGTCCTCAGGACCCCTAGAGAGGAATGGAAGAAGGGACTGGGAGGGGTCATCCCTAGAATGCGACTGTTCAGTTCCCACTGCCTGCCCTGTGCAGAGTAGGAACTGAATACCTGTTGGATGTGTGAATGGGTAAGTCAGAGGTTCTGCTGTTACCATAGACTGGCTGTGTGACTTGGGCCAGTTTCTTGCCCTGTCTGTGATTTAGTGCCCTCATTGGTAAAAAAAGAAAGAGAGAAACTGAGTATTCCTGATGTCTCTTCTAGCTCTGGGCCCATGTCTTCCCTTTTCCCCCATCCCCAATGGCGGGAGTACACTGGGCTGCACACAGAGTGCAGAAATGGGCTTTTATTGCTAGGGCAAGATCACAGGTACAGTGGTCTCTGTCCTGACTGTGAGAAGAGACATCTGGAAGGTCCTTCCGGCTGGGCTTGGGGTTTCACTCTGGTTGGAGGTGGCAGCATATGCCCAGAGGAAGAGTGAGGTCAAGCCACTAGCAGCTCATCTGGAATGAGATCACAGGGTATTAGGATATTTGTATCAGTAGCTGCCCTTATGGGCAGCTGCAACTCATTGGACACTTGATGGGACACAGCTGACCTGGGTCCACTGTCTCAGCTCTTTCCCACAATAAGGCCTTGGAGAGGCGACCGGCATCTATGCTTTGGAGTCTTTCTCTGGCCCCTGGCACTGACCCAGTCTCATTTCCCTGCTCTCCTTCAGAACAATGGCAGATGTGGAAAGAATGATCAGAGGCCATGGTGGGAACCAGGGCTCAGTATATGATCAGTCTGAGATCAGGATTAGAGTTCAGCCAACAACCATCATCAAAACTCAGTCTGTGGTTAAGATCTAGGCTCAGTCTGAGGCCAGAATCGCAGCTGAGTCTGGGTGTGTAATCAAGGCCCAGGGTTCAGAATGTGACCAGAATCAGGGCATGGCCCAGGTCTGGGGCCAGGGCTCAGTCTGTGACTGAGATGAGGGCTCAGTTTGCTGCTACACAAAGAAGACAAGTCAGGCCTGGGTTTTGCTTCACCACAGGCCCCTGTGCCTTGGGGCACCGAGCCCTGGCCCCTCACCAGCAGGAAGGCACACGGCGATCCTCATCCTCTTCAGATATGGATGTTCAAGTCGATTCCCTCCTCAATTTTAGCTGAAGGAAAAAAATCAGTCTCAGCCTCTGCCACTGGAAACTTGAATAGAGATCAGACCCCAATAGCTGCCACTCTCCCTTGGGTCAGTCTGACAGCTGTGGGACACCAGGCATGTCACTCTACCTCTCTGAGCCTCAGTTTGGTCATCTGTATAGAGCAGTGATTCTCAACCTTCCTAATGCTGTGGCCCTTTAATACATACAGTTCCTGTGGGTCGCGACCCACAGGTTGAGAACCGCTGGTATAGAGGGTACATGGCAGTACTCACCCGCAGGGTTGTCGTAAGGATCTAACAGGGTGGAGTAAGTGCAAATGACTGCCTAAGTGACTGGACGCATGGCTGTTTTTAATGAAGAGCCATGAGGTCTTGACACCTTCCCATACCCCATTTCTATTACCCCCACAGTCCCAGACATGCCTAGAAACTTAAGGGCCAAAGAGAGCTCCTAAGTGCTGGGGGAGTAACACAGCTCCCAACTTGCTCAGAACCAGTGGATCCTTCTGTTTGTTTCTGCAGGGTCCCCTGACCAGAACCGCTATGAAGCAGGCACAGAGCTGCACATCTGCCCTTGGAAAGCTGTACTTGTCCACAGCATCCTTACCCATGAGGTCATGAATATACTTCACGTCCACATTCAAGTCGCGGAGGAGGATATGGATCAGCGGGCATACCTGAGAGCCGGAGAGAGGAGGGAGAACAAGGTCAGGAGGAGGAGGAAGGACAGATCATTCTCAGCTGGGAACAAACCTCCCACCACCCACAGAGATGCCCATTTCTAGGGATCTTAGCTCCTTTGAAACTCAGGATTTTAGAACAATAGAATTCTAGTGGTCTACAATCTGAGAACCCTAGCATGCTGGAATCCTAAAACTATAGAATCCCGCCAAACAGTAATCTAGAGTGTTAAGATCACCATACCCTTAGAAACCTTGAACTTTGGAACTCCAGCATTGTGATGGATGTGTTACTTAGTTCATTATAAACATTTCACATTGTATATTGAAGCAGTACCCTGAACCTCATAAATGCATCAATGTACAAAGTAATGATTTAATAAAAAAAAAATTAAAAAAAAAACCCTTGAACTTTGGAACTCCAGCAATTTAGGGGGTGACTTGGGGTCCTAGTGACTATAGAGTGGGACTTTCCATGCTTTCACATGCATACAATTCCTGGAAATTCCCATGCAGCAGGTCTGGGGTGAGGCCTGAGATTCTGCATTTCAAACAAGTACCCAGTGAAGGAGGTAGGTGGCCAGAGGACTGTGCCTGGAATCCCCAGACTCCAAGTCACTGAGTCACATAGCTGCCTAGAGGATTTTTCTTTTATAAACCCACATTCCTGGGCCCACTTCCAGGACTAACTTAGAATCTCTGGAACTTTGGGTCTGGGAATCCTATGCATTGTAAATATGGTTTTGGATGATGCACAGATGAAAAAAATATATATTTTATATGTCTGTTTATATTGTCAACTAATTATATGAGAAGTGATAGTAGTTTTCTGTTTATGACAGGGACACAAAGTTTCCTCTTTAAAAATAAATGCACTCAAATAAAATTAAGTAAAATTGTGTTGATTTGTTAGCTACAAAAGGATATTGGTAGTTCATGAATATGGCAAATGGCTCAAGTTTGGGACTGGGTGACTTCAGCTGATGTCAGGCCCGGGCTCCCCACCCTGCTACCAGGCTGGGTAATAGAGGAAGTGGCTCCAGCAGACCTCCCAAAGAGGAGTTTTCACCTCTGAAGGAAAAGTGCCCAGAGACTATAGCCAGGCCTGCAAATGCCACACCTTCCCCCGACCAGGCCTGGTTCTGGGTTCCAGGGAGTGGGAAACTTACATCCTTCTGCATTATGTAGGGCACAGCATTATTCAGGGTTCCAGTGATTGCGTCCACAACATTGTTGATTAATTTGCTGCGTCTGGAAAAGACATGGAATTGATAAAGACCAGTCGAGTAGGTAAGAGGTAGGGTGGTGGGGGTGGGACTGCCAAGAAGTTGGGGTGGGGACTTTGAAGTCAGGTAAACCCCAGGGACACTGAGGTACCTGCCTTCCTGAATGCAGACGGCCTCCATCCAGATGCGCTGTTACCTAGAATCCCACATCTGAGTAGGTGCTCGCCCCAATCACAACCCTGAGACCTCAGGTCTTCATTCATTCGACCCATATTTACAGAGCACCAACCACATGCCAGGAACCCAGCTGGGCCCTGGGGACACTGGCATGAGCACAAACAGCCACTATCCTGGTTCCCAAACATCAGACCAATCTTGCCAAGATTGGCTCACCCCACCTTCAACTTGGCATACTTGTCACCTCCTCAGGGCAGCCCTCTCTGACTGCTCGTCTAAGAGAACGCTTTGCTCTCCCAGTACCCTGTTAGTCGTAATGCTCTGTGCAGGGCCTATCACTTCCCCTAAGGGCTCTATATTGTTGGACTGAGCTGCTTTTCTTCAGACCTTGTCTGTCATCACCAATCAATTCCTACCTGGCACATAGTGGAGGCTCCCTAGAATGAATAACACAAACATATGATTAAATATACAACAACAGCTTGCGACAACACTTTAAAGGACAAAGAGACGCCTCTTATAAGAGAGAATAGGTGGAATCTCACTGAGGCCCAGGAGGAGGAGAAGGAATATGGAGGGGGAGTGAGGAAAGGTGCAGCCAGGACGGTCTGCACAAAAGTCCTGAGCTGGGAAAGAGTTTGTCTGAGGCACAGCACAAAGGCTAGTGGTATCTGAGCAGGGTGAGTGAGGCCAGAGGGCAGTGTTACAAGGGTGGGCCCAGAAGTCTATGTACACAGCTCTGGGATTGAGCCACAATCCCAATGCACAAATAAAATTCCCAAGAGACACCAAGATTTGGTGTCATTTGACAGATGTGGACATAGACCCAGAGCAACAGGGTGGATTCCTGGGGCTCCTTGGTGAGGCAGTGCCCAGTGGGGTACTGAATTAACATCGTGGGCTTTCTAGCTAACTTCGGGACGCAGAGCCTTTCCGTGGTTTTAGGAAGTCCCTGGGCAACTGTGAGCAGATGCCTGGGTGGGGGAAGGGTGAAGTGACCTCTGCTGTTGGCCATCAGGGCTGAGAGCTGAGGATCCAGCTCTGGTCTTGACAAAACCTTGACTTCCAGATCATTTTTCCTCTCCCAGCTGACCAGGACCACTCTTTCTCCCTCCATTCTCTTGCCTGGGCCAAACCTGCTCTTTGAAGCTCACAGATTAAGATGTAGATTTTGGGGATTAACAGGGATCAATGATTTAAATGGAGAGGATTAAGTGTTCAAGATTTCATTTCGGGAATTTTCCAGTGGGTGGAGAATGGGTTGGGAACAATCTGAAACTGGAGCCCACGGTAGGCGTTTACTCCCCCCTCCCTTCTGAATAGAAGCAAGAAGGTAAATACAATTTCATCGCTACCATCATTATTGAGGGACATTACATAACAATAAGTGGGTGATTCTCCTAGAAGACCTGATAATCCTGATGTGTAGGAACCTAACAATAGAGCTTCAAAAGGCATGAAACAAAAACTGATAGAGCTGAAAGTGAATTAGGCAGTCATGATTATGGTGGGCAAGGTCTGCACTCCTGCCCTGGTCACAAGAGAACCAGCAGACACAGAGTCAGCATGGAGATTATTATTTCTGAGAGTCTAGTGTGCTCCAGGCCGTGTGCTCGATGTTTCTATCTTCTCATCTGTCATCTCACAACCCTCTGAGTAGGTATTGTTATTGCCCCCTGTCTACAGATGTGAAAACTGAGGCTTAGCAAGATTATATAGTTGGCTATAAAGTTACAAGTTAGTGGCAGAGTTGATACTTGAACAAAGGTCACTGTGACTCCAGAGCCTGAACTCTTTTGTCACACTGCACCTCTTCTTAGTTATAGGATAGGGTTGAAATTAGGGGTCCTCAACTCCCCCTGAGAGCTCAGTTCTGCTGAGATGCACGGGCCTTACCTGTCCATCAAGGAGAATGAGATGCTGTTTGGGTCAACGGCGCATTCTCCCAGGATCAGCCTGGGCACTTTGGTCTGGGGATCAATTTCAACTGTGACTCCAGTCAGGAAGTCCAAGGAGACCTGCAGGTCGATGATCTGGCCAAGTATGGGCCTGCAGGGAGCAAGATGCACAGTGAACAGAGTCTAGAAGGCTCTGCACGTCACTCACATGGGCTCCTTAACTGGGTGGGGATTCCAGAATGTCTCTGGGGAGTGTCAGCCTGGTCCAGATCACATCAACATAGTCCATATCCTTTATGGGATTTATGTGTGTACCACAGGGTTCTTCCCCTGGCATGTGCTTTAGTTCCTATGAAATCTTTATATACCATTATACTAATAATTAAAACAATAATAGTTAACATTCACTGAGCACAAATTATGTGCAGGCACTTTTTTTTTTTTTTCTGAGACAGAGTCTCACTGTGCTGTCCTGGCTAGAGTGATCATATCATAGTTCACAGCAGCCTTAAACTCTTGGGCTCAAGCAATCCTCTTGCCTCAGCCTCCCTGAGTAGCTGGGCTACAGGTGCCCACCACCACACTTGGCTACTTTATCTGTTTTTCTTTTTCTTTTTTTTTTTTTTTAGTAGAGACAGGGTCTTACTCTTGCTCAGGCTGGTCTTGAACTCCTGAGATCTGGCAATCTACCTGCCTTGGCCTCCCAGAGTGCTAGGATTACAGGCATGAGCCACTGTACTTGGCCAATGTGCAGGCAATTTTTTTTTTTTTTTTTTTTGTAGAGACAGAGTCTTACTTTATCGCCGTTGGTAGAGTGCCATGGCAGCGTCACACAGCTCACAGCAACCTCCAACTTTTGGGCTTAGGCGATTCTCTTGCCTCAGCCTCCCAAGTAGATGGGACTACAGACGCCCGCCATAACTGGCCACTTTTTGTTGCTGTTTGGCCAGAGCTGGGTCTGAACCTGCCACTCTCCGTATATGGGGCCGGCGTCCTTCCCACTGAACCACAGGCACTGCCCTCTGCAGGCAATTTTTAAAAGTATTTTACCTGAATTAGTCCATGGAATCATCACAATAATACTATGAGGGAAAAATTATTATTATTATTATTTTTTTTTTTTTTTTTTGAGACAGAGCCTCAAGCTGTCCCCCTGGGCAGAGTGCCGTGGCATTACAGCT